CCACGGTTGACTACATGGGAGTCCAGTGACATAGCCATTACACTAACTGCTGGTCCTGAGAACACAGCTATTTGAAGTTAGTCTCTTGTTTCAGCTATACTGAAATTTAATGTGGTCCAAGAAGAGAGTTTTCTAGTAAGAGAACATCTCTGTACATCATCTATGAGGTGAAACTGAGGTGAGTCCCCAGTGGGGAAGCAATTGCACCTACCTAGATTCTTCCTCTTGTTGAAAACTCATTCGATTTTCCATTCTCCAAATGGGTCAAGACCCAACACTGTCTTCAACATTTATAGATTAGAAAGCGAAAACTTGTTTGGAAAAAAAAAAAAAAAAAGATGGATCGATAGCCCAGGGCATTGAAAAAAAATCTCTTAAGTTCTGTGCTCATGGGACTTCGGATTCTTCTGTTTATATGACTTTGATGGCAGAGTTTGACTCCTTCCAGTGCATGGAGGAACATCAAATGCCAGGAGGACAGGTTCATCAGAGGAAGCCCAGGATCACAGGGCTGTAGTGAGAGAGGAGGCCAGTGAGGGCCCAAGCATGGGCAGAATGAGACAGTTTGGACAGTCACTGTTGCCAACCTCCTTCTGGGGTCAAAGCCGTGGGCCCTGGGGAGATGGGAACTGGGGTGATGAGAGGAAGTTTTCAAGCACAGTGGTGTCTTGTTGACTTGCATATGCAGGGGGGCTTGGGTAACCACAGGGCTCAGGGTATTAGCAAGAACAGTTCAAGTGCTCACTTGACTTGGAGCTATTTATGGGGAAGTGGTTTCTACAGCAAGAGGAGGTGAGATGTTGGTGTCATCCCAGGACCACACACAGGCTGTTCCTTCTCACTAGAGCTCTGCAGTCATAGTTTCCCTTAGCCAAGCAGAAACTTCTGTGTTATTCCACAGCTGTTCTAATAGCACCTGTGGTATGTGCAATGGTACCAGGAGTCCTGAGCAGCACAAACTAGCGCAGGGGCACTGAGGAGGACAGAGCTGTAGTTGCAAAGTTTGGACTACAGGATTAATGAGAGTACAGCCACCTGTCACACATCTGCTGATGCAAGAGAGATTCGGCACTAGCAGAGAGTTGTTCCACGGGGGTTGATAAGCACAGGAACCCTAACATGTCCCTAGCCTTTGACCAAGGAAGTCCATGTCTAGGAATCTATTTCTTATATAAATAAATGCAAGTGTGGGAAAAAAGTTTATGTATAAGAATATTTGATCAGGGCCAGCAGGGGATGTGGTGGTTAAAGGCGCTGGACTCCCACATGACCAACTGCAGTTCAAGTCCTGGACCTGGTGGCTTGCATTCTCACTTTCCCTCTCTCTCTTTCTTTCTCTCTCTCTGATCAAACTGGGAAATACTACTAATACTAAATGAAGTAAAATAAAATAATTTTTTTTTAAGAAGGAACATTTGATCCACAGGAAATTCATAGCGATTTAAAATAGGACCCCATTTAAATCGCTTATGATATGGAAATGACTAGATACATCATAGTCTCTTCACTTAACTGGCTACTTCAATTGAAGGGAGCCTTTACAGAGAATGCAGAGACATGAAAAATGCTTATGTTATGATGATAAGTTTAAAACCTCTGAGATGAAAATCGGCTTGTTTTAATCAAGACCCACTCAGTATCTGGAGACCTGATCAATCTCAAATAACTTTTATTTACTTTTGGTGAATGCCGTTCCCAGGAAAGAGGGCAAGTAGAAGCCACAAGTGCATGGTGCCCCAACTTGCCTACTCGTTTATCTCTTCCGGGTTAAAGGACTTCCTTCTCTTCCTCATTGTGGGCACTCTGCTTATGACTCATTGTTCTAAGAATGCTCTCATTCCCCATCTCATTCCCCAGTTCAGGTTTTCTGCTTATGTGATGGAGCGTAGCTGGTGTTTATGGTAGGGCCAGTCTTGCCATCTTAGTAAGTTCTAGAGTGGGTATATACCCCTGTTTCTGGTGATTACCTGGACACCATGAAAAGCCCTGTTAGGGAAAATGGAAAATAGGAATTGCAATATTAACCAGTTTCTGGGACATTTCAGATCCTTGGTCAGCTGCTCAGACAGCTCCCAGCTCTCCTCCTGGGGGAATGTCCTCCAGAAACTCATCCGAGCTATGCACTATGGAGGATCCACCTTCTGGGGGCTTCCTACTTCCTGTCTGTTCATGTTAGAAGCCTGGGGTTTTTCTTAGATGTTGAGCAATCAGAAGCTATTTGGGCCAGTCTTGTGGTTCTCAGGCAATGTAACTCTTCTAATGATGATGGGCTTCTGATTGATCGGCCTCTGATCAATTCCAAGGGCTAGATTATCAAATACAGAGAGGCTGTGCCGGCCTATGTTCTGTGTTTTAACTGGGATTGGGAATGTGCACATCTCAGCACAGGGCTTTGTGCTGTAATTATTTCTATCCCCTAGCACCTGCTGAGGGGCTTTGCCTTCACCTTGGCTCCTCTGAAGGTGCAGGACCATTGGTGGGAGTGATGGCTTAAAGTCATGTGCTCCCTGCTCCTTCACAAAGAGCTGATTGTGTATTATAAGTAAGGAAGAACTGTTTCATAAGAAAGAAAGGATTAGGCTGCAATTGGACCCCTGGTTCACCTCCTGTTAATTCTTTCACCTCCTTGTCCTTTGCTCACTCTAACTTGATCTCAGCTAAAATTCCTGCACTGAGATCCCTCTGAGACTCCAGATTACAGGGTTCTTAATCAACAAATTGGAAAAAGACTTCCTCAGCAAAGGTGCGTTTTTCCCCACCCTTTTCCAATTTCCATTTGCTCTGTTTGTTCATAGTACTCACTTAGGGCATGTTGGGCATTCTCATTAAGCTCCTGCAATAGTACAGCTTAGGTACTATGACTATCTCCATTTGACAAAACTGGGACTCAGAAAGGTTAAGCAACTTGGTCAACATCATACAGCATGCAAATGGTACAAATAAGTTCCAAGACTAGACTTCTTTTTTTTTAGAGGAAATGATACATTTAATAAATTACATTCCAGTAGTAAATTGTACATTTATTTAACTTCAATGTAATATTTTTTGGAGAGGTTTTTGCTATAGGGCCTGTGTGCTTGCCGGAAAGACAGAGAGAGACAGAGAGAAAGAAAGCGAGAAATCACCCCCCAGGGGGTATGGCCATGCTACAATCCCTTCTCCTTCATTCTCCTCTCGGGATCTTGGGCATGCACTCACACGTGCCCGGCATGAGTTTAAGTCACTGGGTCCGGGACTCAAACCACAATTGACTTCATGGGAGTTCAGCGACATAGCCATTACGCTAACTGCTGGTCTCTCAATATAATTATTGAAACTTGATTTACTCTTTGGACTGAGGTCTGGTAATGTTAAACTTTTAATTTAAAAAACTAATGTATTTGGGAAATGGGAATTCTCTTACACTGCTGGTGGAACTTTTTTTTTTTAAGTTTATTTGTTTGTATAAATATATATAAAAAAAGTCTATAAAATAGATTCCCAGAAATGGTATGATACAAATAAGATGTAGGTCAAATAATACATGTATGTGAATATTTGCTAAGTAGTAGTGTTTAGTAGCATTTTAGAGTTTGATCACTACAGTTCCAAGCAATTTTTACAAGATTAGATTATTTTAAACAAAATGAAATAATCATGGCTCATAAAAGTTAATCCATGTTTGACTTTCAAAATTTTTTGAATTTCTCCTTCTCTTGCCAAAAGGACTCCTGCTCGATGCACATTTCTTATATTCATAACTGTAACTCAGGCGATTCATTTACTAGATAACCCACCTTTCCCAGTAAACCTACAACGAGAATTCTGTCCCACACAGAGGCTGACTGTCTTTTCATTTTCTAACATCAGCCATTTATTTTGTGGAGCCTGGATTTGAGAAATAACGTGCAATATGCCCGTTGCCATGTACATAGACGTACCACATTTGGAAAGGAGTAATGAATTCTACCGACAAGTTTGGTGGCGCTCAGCCATTAATATACAGAGAGAGAATGCCTGAAAAGCTTGGTAAAAATAGCAATCCCCAGGTCCAAACCTAACGATTCTGCTATACGTGATTTCAACTATCATTACTTGTGATTTGGGTAAGGTGGATCACATTTTAGAAAATAGTTTGGTCAGTGGTTAAGAGCATAGTCTGCAGTGAAATAATCCCCCGGGGGACCCAGAGGGTGGTGCAAGTGCAAAATGCAATGCTCTGAGAGGTAATCCCATGTGGGATGGTTGGAGTTCGGGAGCTCCCTGAATACATCGGACATGACAGGGCTTGCCAAGGGATGAGGAGTGGGCTGCGGTGTTGAGACCCTGCCAAGAGTGCTCTTGCTCTCTCTTGCTCATGGGATAAATAAATATTTTTTAAAAAGTCTAATCCTGGAATCTTTTTTGTCAGATGGAGCTAGTCATAGTATCTAAGCTGTACTACTGCATTGGCAGGAGTAAAAGAACAAAACATAAAAAGCAAAAAGCAAGCCTAAAGCAAGCCACAAAAATGCCAGCAATCGTTACTAAGAAAACTTGATTTGTCATAAATAGGCACTACAGAACACTCCGTTTAATGGTTTCTATTGAGTAGTGAATTTTCCGAGGACAGGTGCATTATGGTTTATAATTGTGACATTCCAGAATGTGCCTCTCTTGTAGACTGGAGTGACACTGAGGCAGCTCCCACTCATCTCTCCCAGCTTCCCTCCACTTCACGACTCCCAATTAAGCAGTGATTCTGACTTGCCAGAAAAACAACCAAACTCAAAGATGGTTTGCTTTTATAAGAGCATCTTTATTGCTTCACCAGGCTGAACATAGCACTGAACCAAACACTCGATGCATATTTGCCAGTCTGCTGGCTTTGGTACTCTGTTTACCTAGAACAAACTGATGGCAGTGGCTCCTATGTCACCAGTCACAGTGTGAGCAAACCGGGAGGGGCAGGTGATAAAGAAGGTATCCCCTGAGATCTCTCAGG